CACCCCCATCTCCTACCTACTAACCTCATCCCGCCCCCTTGACCTGTCCGTCCTCCCTGGACTGACCTATCTCCTCCCTACCTACATTCACCTTTACTGGCTCCATCCCCGCCTCTTTGACCTGTCTGTCTCCTCTCCACCTATCTTCTCCTGTATCCATCTTCTATCTGCCTCCCCCTCTCTCCCTATTTATTTCAGAACCCCTTCCCCTCCCCCATTTCTGAAGAAGGGTCTAGGCCCGAAACGTCAGCCTTCCTGCTCCTCTGATGCTGCTTGGCCTGCTGTGTTCATCCAGCTCTGCACCTTGTTATCTCAGATTCTCCAGCATCTGCAGTTCCTACTATCTCATGGGAAGAAACTTATTTTACAAACAGGGTGGAAGACACAAATTCAATGACAAAAGAATCGAACCAACACTTGATGCAGAAAAACACAATATATTGAGGATAGAGTCGTTGTGGGGTCTGACTAGAAAGTTCCCTGACAGAGTGAGTATCAACAATGGGCCAAATAGCCTCCTTCTGTGTTAAATTGCTCAACAATTGTATATCCCATATTGCCCACAGCCAATCGGCACTCATACTGACCATTCAGGATGGACTGTCTGAGGTAACAAAAACAGAAGTTGCTAGAAAAACTCAGCAGGTCTGGCAGCATCTGTGGCAAGAAATCAGAGTTTATGTTTCGGGTCCAGTACCTTCTTCAGAATTGACTGTAGCTAGGGAAAAGGTTGGTGTATATGCTAAAGTTGGGGCAGGGTGTGGGGGGAGAGAGAAAACGATAAGTGGAGATGGAGCCCAGACAGAGAGGAAATCAGATGGAAATCAGACAAAGGAGTGGGTAAAGATCAGCCTGGGAGAATGAATAGCTGCTAATGGGGATCGCTAGTGGCTGACAATGGGTTGTTTGTGCTGTCAGCCCATGTGATGACAAGGCATGGGGTGTGGAGGTTGAGGTAAGGACATGGGAAAAAGTGCTCAGGCCCTAAAATTATTGAATCTCCAAACAGAAAATGAGGCGTTGTTCTTCCAGCTTGTGCTGATCTTTGCTGCAACACTGCAGCAGGCCTGAGACAGAGATGTCAGTCAGGGAACAGGGTGGTGTGTTAAAGTGGCAGAAAACCAGAAGCTCAGAATCATTTTTACCAACAGAATGCCCCGTCGTTCTGTGAAGTGGTCACCCAGTCTACACTTCATTTCCCCAACGTAGAGGAGACCAGCAAATGTGAGCAGCAAATGCAGTAGACTGGATTGAGTGAAGTGCAGATAAATTGCTGCTTCACCTGGAAGGTGTGTTTGGATGGTGGGGAGAGAGGAAATAAATGGGCAGGTGTTACACCTTCTGCGATTGCATGGGAAGGTGCCATTGGGCTGTGGGGAGTGAAGGAGGAGTGTGGGGAGCGAAGGCGGAGTGTGGGGAGTGAAGGCAGAGTGTGGGGAGTGAAGGAGGAGTGGACCAAAATGTTCTGGAGGGAATGGTCCCTGTGGAAGGCTGATAGGAAAGGGGAGGAGAATGTGTTTGGTGGTGGCATCCCATTGGAGGTGACAGTAATGGCAGCTAATGATCTGATGGATGTGGTTGCTGTTGGGATGGTATGATGTGGGAATGAAGGGACTGGTTGAGGGCTGAAGTACAGGAGATGGATCAGCTCTGGCTGAGGGCGCTGTGCTGGGGAATTCTTGGTTGAGGAAGAATTGGTGAACTAATGCACCAGAATAATTGTGGATGTAAGCGGGGAGGGTCATGCCAGGGGATAAAAATCAAGTTGAGGTAGGAAGAGATGAATTCTGTAGGGCAGCAGCAGGCAGAAACAATGGGTCTGCCCTAGCAGTAGTGGTTGTGGATTTAGAGAAGGAAGTAGATGGAGGCCTAGGACGGGAGATCACCAGATGAAATGGGATTAGTGACTGTTGATGTTTTGGGTTGGGGCCTTTCTTCAGAAATGTTTGTGAAGAAGGGTCCTGCCCTGAAAAGTCAACTTTCCGCTCCTCTGATGCTGCCTGGCTTGCTGTGTTCCTCCAGCTTCACACTGTGTTATCTCCAACTCCAGCATCTGCAGTTGTTGCTATCTCTGAGGGAGACAACACCATGAGCTTTCAGGTATTGACAGTCTGCAGAAAGATGGTGCTAGAGCTTAAATTCTGCATCACAACCAGCTGCGTAAGCTCAGAGAGCAGACAGCAACTGTCAGGGACAGCGCAACAAGCGTTTTGTAACAGGCAGTAATCATCAGCTTGACATCGCACCACAATACGCCGTTTGAATGATACTTACTGGGGGTCCCGAAGGTCCAGCAGGTCCCTTTGGACCCAACAATCCACGAGGGCCCTATATGGGAAATAAGAGGCAATGATAAATCTCATCTCCCACACTGGCCAGTGCACTGATCCCACCCACACCCCTCACTCATAACACCTTGATATACTCCAAACCCCTCACTGTAACACTCTGATATACCCCACACTCCTCACTCATAACACCCTGATATACCCCAAACCCCTCACAGTAACACCCTGATATACCCCACACCCCTCACTGTAACACCTTGACATTTACCTCACCTCTCACAGTAACACCCTGATATAACCCACACCCCTCACTGTTACACCCTGATATACCCCACACTCCTCACTGTAACACCCTGATATACCCCATACCCCTCAGTGTAACACCTGATGTACCCCACTCCCCTCACTGTAACACACTGATATACCCCACACCCCTCAATGTAACACCCTGATATACCCCACACCCCTCACTGTATCACCCTGTTATACCCCACAGCCCTCACTGTAACTCTCTGATAAACCCCACACCCCTCAGTGTAACACACTGATATACCCCACACCCCTCACTGTATCACCCTGATATATCCCACACCCCTCACTGTTAACACCCAGATATATCCCACACACCTCAGTGTAACACCCTGATATAGCCCACACCCCTCACTGTATCACCTTCATATACCCCACACCCCTCACTATATCACCTTGATATACCCCACACCCCTCACTCTAACACCCTGATATACCCCACACCCCTCACTGTAACCCCTTGATATACCCCACACACCTCAGTGTAACACCCTGATATAGCCCACCCCCCTCACTGTATCACCTTGATATAGCCCACACCCCTCAGCGTAACACCCTGATATACCCCACACCCCTCAGTGTAACACCCTG